ACATTGTATGCTTAAAATTTTGCTAAGCGGGTAGACATTTTTTTTTTTTGCATGTTCTAAATAAAGTAGGAATCCTGAAGTTCTTGCCCATTTCAAGAGAGGCGGCCAATCCTGGTCTTTGGCCAGAAATAATAAATGTAAATACACGCCTCCAAGAACCAGACCTTCTCATCCCTATTTTCTGAGCAAAAGAAATTACATGTTTGAGATGAGCTATGGTAGCCTTCACAGTGGCTGGTGTCTCAACATACAGGAAAGGCTGCAAGTATGACAAGGGAGAAAAAACAAATTGTGTTGATGGAAAGAAAAGATCTTAGGAGACTAACTGCATTAACTTTTCTTAATGTCATACTAGAAAGAATCAACAGTTATTATAAAACCTTAGTAACCTGAAATATTCTAAGGCTTTTTACCCCTCAGTAGACTTGATTAAAATAAATTTAAATAGGAATAATGATGGCTTCCATGATAGTATTTCTTGGGAAAGGCCGTATATGGCTTAGATGTGTTCTTATTTACCTATTAATGAGCTATTACCCAAGAGCAAATCAACCCACGTGAGTGTAATTCAGACTTTAAAGTTAAAGGCAGCCCTCTTTTAGGGTCAATTAGTGATCTTAATTTCTCTCTTTCCAGATGCTTTATCAACCATCACTGTTTGTTTCTCCAAGAACACACATCAATTATCATCCAAGTGCTGTCTTCACATTTCTATCTTCCCAACATGGTGTATACACCATATTCTGATGATCTTTGCCCACAAAAAGAGAAATCCCTAGTCAAACATCAAGAAGAAATGCAGCCATACACTACCTGGATGAGCACTTATAAATATAGAACTGCTTTGAATGACTCTGTAGCCTGAAACTAATATAACACTGCAATGCTAATTTATACTGAAATAAAATGTTAAAACTAATAAAGCTGAAGGAGGAGGCGGAGAGGTGAGAAGGCCACAGCAAAGAAGAAGAAATAGTAAATGCTTCCTGAGGAAGAGGACTGACTACGCAGACCAGAACCTCCCATGTCACAAATGCTGTCACCATGGAAGAGCCCATTTGGAAAGGAAGCTGTTAGGAATATAAGTCCTGCTGTTCCAAATACAGCAGAGATGGTGGAATTCTTCAGCAAAGTCAATTATTTCTTAGTCTCAAACCACATTTTTTTTTTTAATTTTTTTTTTTTAAATTTTTCAACTTTTATTTTATTTTTTTGGGACAGAGAGAGACATGAACGGGGAGGGGCAGAGAGAGAGGGACATACAGAATCGAAACAGGCTCCAGGCTCCCAGCCATCAGCCCAGAGCCTGAGGGGCTCAACTCACGACCGCTGCAGATCGCGACCTGGCTGGAAGTCGGACGCTAACCGAATGGGCGCCACCCAGGCTACCTTTTTTTAATTTTGTACTAAAAAAATTTTTTTGTCTCACCCCCAATGGCTTGAACCACAACCCCAAGGCCAAGAGTCTCACAACACTGCCTGAGCCAGCCAGGTGCCCCTATAACATTTTTATTATAGGACACTCACAAAATGAAATATAATTATTTAATTTTAGATTATCTCTTAGAAATGGTCTTTGAGGGCGCCTGTACCAGTTGGTTGAGTCAGCCTGGGAAGCTCAGGTCATGATCTTTGGCGCCATGAGTTCGGAAAGCCCAAAGTCACACTTCTGCTGTCAGCTGCAGAGCCCGCTTCAGATCCTGCCCCTCTGCCCCTCCCACTTGCACTCTCTCAAAAATAAATATTTAAAAGTTATCACTGAACATGGTCTTACCACCTGCCATATCCTTATCGCTTTGTGAGTTACAAAACCAAAGTTATAAAATATAAAACATTCCACACCTCGGGTGGCTCAGGTCGGTTAAGCCGTCCGGACTGCCCAGGGTCATGATCTGTCTGTGAGTCTGAGTCTCTGTCGGGCTCTGTGTTGACAGCCTCAGAGCCTGGAGCCTGTTTCAGCCCTGTGTCTCCTCTCTGACCCTCCCCTGCTCATGCTCTGTCCTTAGTTCAAAATAAATAAACATTTAAAAAAAAATTTTTTTTTAAATATCTATTACCCAAGTTTCTTCCTGTCCACTTGTCAATATTTTCTGTGTGTGTGTGTGTGTATGTGTGTGTGTGTATGTGTGTGTGTATGAGCACTTAACAGAAGATCTCCCCTCTTAGTGGGGCCCTGTTAATCGCTTATGCCCGACTCTTGGTTTTGGCTCAGGTCTTCACCTTGCAGATTGTGGGTTCAAGCCCTGCATCAGACTTCAGTGCTGACAGCACAGAGCCTGCTTAGACTCTCTTTCTTCTCTCCTCCTCTCTCTGCCCCTCCCCTTGCTGTAATTGTCTCTGTCTCTCTCAAAATAAACTT